ACAGGCATCCATTTGCCAGATGCTGTATGCATATAGTGACTCAGCAAATCCTCACTTAGTGCTTGGGTTAGGCCCCCACGTTGTTATACATACATATATGCGTACACACATACATACACACCTGTGTGTGTGTAAGTGTGAGTGTGTGTCCTTTACAAATACTAGCTTATTTAGCTTGTGGTGTAGGTAGGGTACTATATTCATCCCCATTTTATACACAAGGAAATCTAGACATAGAAAATCATGTTATTTGCCCAATGACCAAACTCCCAAATCAAGGAAATAAAGGAACCTGAATTTAAGCCAGATTTCCGAGAAAAAAATTAGGACTCTTCTCATTTTTTCAACTATGTTCCAACCTTTGAAAACATAATCTAAACACATCCCAGTGTAACTGAAGAGCAGGTTAGTTGTTTGCCACTTGCAGAACCCAATTAAGAAGAGAGAAGTCTGGTATAAAGTGATTTACTTCCAGTGCTAGCTTGGGGGAAGAAATACAGGAGTCCTGTTGTACCACTTCACTTTTGGAGCAGAAAGTGGCACTTTTGAAAGGTAGGGGAGGAAGCAAGGGTGCAGGGGACCATGCTAGCTTCGCAGCCTTATCTGTCAGCTGGTTGAACCGGTGACTGCTAGTGCCTTTATGAGCAGGCTGTTGTCTCTTGAGGCAACTCCCTGGAGGGTGAGAGTTCTCTAGAGGGTATGCTTTGGTTTATAAATGGAGTGTGAACTCAAGAGTTCCATCTTAAAGCACATAGTTAGATGAACTTGCCCTGTAGGGAGACTCTGATGAAGGGGATGTAAAAGGCCATATTTGCATTTCTAAAGGGCTAAGTAGGAAATGGGAAACTAGGAGAATGAAGAAAAAAGAGAAAAAAAATAATGAAGCTATATTGGAAAAATGGAGGTCCTCGGTCAAATTAGTAGGCTCTCTTAAACAGCTTTGTTGAGATGTCATTCACCCATTTAAGACATACAATCCAATGGATGTAAATATATTGAGAGTTGTACAGCCACCTTCACAATAAATTTTAAAATATTTTCATATCCCAAAAGGCACTCCACTCTCCTTTACTGTTGCCCCTCCTCTGCAGCTTCTGGCAACCACAAATCTACTTTCTGTTTTGGACATTTCATATAAATGGAACCATACATTTTGGTAGTTGTTCTTCATATAAGCAATGTCCAGATGCTTGCAATTTAATCTACAAATTACCAGATACAATTTTAACAAGTTGAATTTAGAGTCAAATACATTTGAATTCTGTGGAAGCCATTCAAGAAAATATCAAAGAAAATACAGAGCAGGAGAAGATTAAGTAAAGAGTCTTTGCGGGGAAATTGGTGTCTATGTGTGTGTGTGTGGACGGGGGCAGGGCATATTAATATTCTATTTCCGCCCATGGAAACTAGGACGTAGATCACTATGAACTTACTCAGTGGGCTACACCCAAAGGCAAGAACAAACTTCTCTGCCACAGGATTAACATATGTTTTAACCAACCTGGGGGGCACATTCTCTCATAAGCTCTTTTGAAAAGCAAGGCTTTCTGTGGATGTGTCATCTTTCCAGTGTGCTGCAATGCCCGGGGAGAGGAAAAAGTTTTACAGCCATGCTCAGTGAGATGCACAGAAACATCTTCCATTTCACAAATAGTACTAAGTCTTTTCTCTTACACATGCAATATGCACACACATTCACACGCCACAGTGAGGAAGAAATTCTCACAGCATTAATAAAATACAGTTACTTCAGTAGCAATATACATCTACATTTGCCTATAATATGAAAGTGTTTTTTCTACTGAAAGATTTGCTTCATGTTTCTTCATCAGCAAATAAACCCTAATAAATCTCATTGCCTTATGAACCCTGAAGGTGAATAGGAGAAAATAATCCTTGGGGGAAAATTATCATTTTCAGAGAAAATCAGAGAAAAATTTGATTCTTTTTGGGATATTTACTAGCGACATGAGCTGGGGAGGGAATCTCAGCAGTGATGCACTATGAAGTATAATAACATGACACAGATACAGGAAACTTAAAGAAAGGTGGAAACAAATGGAAGTTTCTCTTTTTGAATATCGATTGTAGCCTGCTCTGCTACACTTCAAAAAACATCTTCAGAAAGTTTAACTTAACTAACTGTAAGACTTTACGGATTTATTGCGTGTTTTGAAGTCATACTCTGAGCTATAGAATTTACCAAAGCACAACTCTTCTTGGAAATGAAAATTCAAATGGGAAGAAAATGCAGGGTGAAGACATGGACACGGGCCTAAAGCATCTACTTCTCTACGATCTTTTGATACATCTCTCAAGTGCTTTTTGGTGGATTGGGTTTAGAATGCATCAGCCAGCTCCTGCTCAATAACCCATTTTTCCAGCCTGAAGTGTCTTAAATTGAGGAAGGACAAAGTCCCAGAGGTGGGGAATAGAGGGACTTTGGCCGAGGACTTGGCATGAATCGATGAAGGCGCATCCTCCTCCCTGTCCTGCCCCTTGTGCTCTGTGTACTCTCAGGAGGTCAGGACCGGCCTTTCTGAGAATGAGAACTTGTTCATTTGCCTTCCTACTGGATACCTGTCACCAGCATACAAACCAATGTGCTCTGAAGTGTGCCATCTTTCAGAACCTCCCCTGACCGCATGTTCCCTGGGGGGCTCGCTGTCTTCACAGCCAGGCTTGTCTCCTGCTGCCGCCTCCACTGCTCTCCCAGTCACTCTGTAACCCACTCCCTCTGCCTGCGGCTCCCACCACACCTCTCAAAGTGGTCAAGGTTGTTCTGTTGTCTAATTCCATGGAAGCTTGGCTATCTTCATTTTATTAGCCTCTTTTGGCGTCTCACCCTGTGAAAATCACTAGCATTCTGTGTCAGGGATGGAGCTGGCATCTCCAGGCTTGGAATAGAGCTGCCAAAGCTCAGCCAGGTGTCCTGAGGAGCCTTGGGACAGGGGACACTGTAGCCTTGTGGTCGGAGCACAGCTGAGGCTCCCTTGGCCACCCTCTGCCACGATCAGACAGAAAGCAGCTTTTGGACACATTTGATTTCCCAGAAAAATCAAGGCCAGTATTTAGCCCAGGCTCTTCTTTTTTACAATTTCCTCTGAAATTCAGATGCCTGTCAACATCGTGGACAGATGTATTCCTCCCCAGTTAATAGTGGTGTGTCACTGTAGCAAACCCAATACAAAAATTGCCCTCTTTTGTAGGGGAGCTTTTTACCCTCCAGTTTTTTGCATAATTTTTGTGCAAGATGGCAACATACTTTAGTTCAGTTCTGATTTATTCCCAACATCACCAAATTTTTTATATCTCAAGAAGGGACCATTTAGAGGATGCTTATCACCAGTTAAAGTGACAGTGTCACAACCAAAGCACATATTGTAAGAAATCAAACAATGGCCTCCAAGTTCCATTTCTACTCAGGGATGAACAAATCAACATCAATCTTGGCAACACAGTTGCCACTGATGGTACCTTACTTTTCTATCATGACATGGCAATCAAGAGCAAATGTACAATTTATTCTTATTTTAGGTTTTATGGTTAGAACAGAAAGACAGCTAGACATGAGCAAGAGGGGAAAGCCCCTGAGAAAAGGTAGGTGTGGAAAATCTCACACCCCAGGTATTACCTGAGCCCTGCATGCTAGATATGCGCAGAGGAGGGGGAATACTTAGGCAGAGGGGAATGCCCCTTAACACGCCCAGCATTCGCTCACCCTGTAGTTAACTTTTCCAGATGTCACCAGGTACATGCCGATAGGGAGGGAAGAGGGCAAAGGAGAAAGTCCTAAGAGATACACAGCTGAAGTTAGTATAGATCTGAGTGCTATGCAACCTTCCTAGGGTAGCGGAAATGAACAATGGAGCTGGTAGGTAGAATTCATATCTGATATGGTTTAGCTGTGTCTCCATTCTCTCTTGTCTGCCCACGTGTAAGATGTGCATTTCACCTTCCACCATGATTATGAGGCCTCCTCAGTCACGTGGAACTGTGAGTCCACTTAACCTCTTTTTCTTTATAAATTACCCAGTTTCGGGTATGTCTTTATCAGCAGCATGAAAACTGATTAATACAGTATCCAACGCCAGGACCATGCATGCACATCAACTAATACTAAGGGAAGGTCCCACAAGCCTAGAGTGAGACTAGGACTTAAGGCAGGAGCAAGAAATCTAGGCAAGGATAAAAGGCAGAGACTTAAGACAGAGGTGGAAACTTCAGGAAAGAGTTTGACATCATAGTAACCCAATGCAGAACTCTTGGAGAGCTGTTGACTCCCTCCCTCTCAATGGCCCGCTCTGCCTTATCTTTCAGGGTGTACTGTCTCTCTGTGTAAACTCTCTGCTTTCTACCTTCCTTCCATAAATTGTCTTTTTTGGCTAAATTGGTCACTTAGCAGAATTCTTTCTCCCAAGTAAGACTAAGATCTGAGGATTCCTGCACTTCCTGATAGCATTGCATTCATTAATGTAGTAACACAGGAGTGGTGACATCATTCTAACCTGTTTATCAATCTAGTTAATCTTTTAATATATTGCAATCTGCTCATGGAAAAGTTTTTTATATAATTTCAACTTTTATTTGAGATTTAGAGGCACATAAGCAGGTTTGTTACATCAGTAAATTAGCCTCTTTTGGCCTCTCACCCTGTGAAAATTGCGTGACACTGAGGTTTGAGGCACAAATGATCTCATTACCCAGGTAGTGAGCTTAGTATCCCACAGGTAGTTTTTCAGCCCCCGCCTTCCTCCCTCTCTCCCCGCTCTAGTAGTTGCCAGTGTGTCTTTTGTTGCCATCTTTACATCCATGTGTTGAACTACTTTCTTCATTAAACATCTTGATTCATAGCTACCCATTCTGCTTCCGGTAAAGCAGAAAGTTTTATTTGGTTAATATGAACCAAATAGATTAAAAAGAACTCATGACAATCAGACTTGATGAACTGACCATTTGATTAACTGACCATTTATTCCACTTGGATCTCCCACCTCTAGGTCAAGAAGAGCCTCTGGATGACTATGTGAATACCCAGGGGGCTTCAGTGTTCAGTATCACTAAGCAGCAGCTGGGGGCAGGAAGCATAGAAGAATGTGCAGCAAAATGTGAGGAGGAGGAAGAATTCACCTGCTGGTATTTGCATTGTTGTTGCACCTACGCAGGAATCTGTCGTTTGGATGGCAAGTTATTTATTCACAAATGTATTAATGATTTAAGAGGAAAGAGGAATTTGTGGAGTCAGGGTTTGGAACTGTATTTGCTCACAGTATCTGAAGCCATACTAACAGCTTCTCATTAAGGTTTATTGGAGTATCCTTTAGAAAAATACCCCAAAAGGAAGTTATTTATTTTTCCACTGGACATAAACGTTAGCAGCTCTTGTTCCGAGGTCTAGTTTTTAACATCATCATTATCAGTAAATGTTTGTTGAAGATCATGTGAATGAAAGTGTCCTAGATAGATCTGAGCAATGACTTATAGCTACAAGATCCAGTGTCTGCCCTTTACTATTTAAGGTGTATCAAAGAAACTGGATATAATGTTAAAAAAAAAAAAAGAAAGAAAGAAAGAAAGAAAGAAAGAAAAAGAAAAGACAGCCCAAGTGAGGTACTGCGAAGTGGCATAATCAATGCATGCTCTACCCAGATCCAGAAGAAAGAACAGTACCTAAGGTTGAGACAGCTAGAAGAGGCTCAGGGAGCGGGTGGGAGCTGAGCTGGATTTGGAGTTGAGAGAGCTCTTGACAAGCACCAGGAAGGCGGGGGATGATGCGGCCCTGCACCCTCTGATGGGGACCATTAAGAGATCAAGTAGGCTAAAGCAGAGGCTTTGTGTAGGTGATGGGCCTGGGAAGGTAGCTATGGATGCCAGACTGAGCACCCACGGCAGGACCACGTGGATGGGGATGGGAGGGGTCAGGGGCCAGTGCGGGGTAGAATGTGGAGCAGAGGTTCAGGAGAAGTGATCAGAGTTGGGAGGTCATGGAGACGAGCCTCCAGAACTGGGAGACAATAAACTTATGTCATTGAAGCCATGCAGTTTATGACCCTCTGTTATTGCTGCCCTAACAAATGGATACAGGTAGCCATTTAGATTGTCTGCTGAGCCCACTCACTAATGATCTGATAAATATATACTCATGTCTGTCCCTCTGGATATTTGTGATAGTTTTTCTGAGTTATATGTCATAAAATAGGATAGCTGCATCATCCGGTATTCGTATGACCAGTCTCACTAAATAATGACAGATTTCTCTTCAGAATCACTCTATCAGTTTACGCTTCCTCCATAATGCAGGACAATTGTCCATTCCCCAGCTTCCTGAGCATTTTCAGATTTGTCAGATTTTTGTCATGTGCTTTTAGTATGCCCTGCATTTCCCCTGTCTGGAAATTACCTATTCATAACCATGAAGTTTTCTAATTGAAGTGTAGGATGATTCTCTTAATAATCAGAAGCTGTACCATAAGTACTTTCCCCCACTCTTTGCTCTTTTTAATCTTTTATGCGATTCTTTGATAAGTGGAAACTTTTATTATTCTTTGAAAAATAGAAACTTTTTTTAGTATTTTCCTTCAGAAAAAATGCATTAATCATTTGTATAGCCTACGAATAGAAATATATAGCTTAGGAATTATCTTCCTATTCTGAAATCAGGGCTAACCCCACCAAATCTTCTTCAAAATGTTTAAGATATGCTTTACACATTTAAGTCTCTGATTCATGTGGAATTTTTCTGTGTGTTGTGAAATAAGGATAATATTTGTTTCCCATGCTTCAGACATATTTACTGTCTGATCCATTTTTCCCATTGGGGTGCAATGCCAGGGCCACCACACATCATATTCTCATGGATTCATATTTCTATTGACAAGCTTTTGATTTTGTTCCATTCATCTATTCCTCTATCCATGAACCAACGTCACCTAGCCTTAATCGTGTTAAAGCTACAATAATATATAGTAATGCATTTTTTAGGATTATATGTAAATTTTAAATGCAGTTTAAGTTTCACAAAAGTTCCTATGGGAATTCTGATCAGAACTGTATTGAATTAGATTTATTTCAGAAGAACTGACATCATTTAACAGCCATAAGTCTATTGCCCAACAAGGATGTATTAGTCCATTCTCGCACCATCATAAAGAAATACCTCAGACTGGGGAATGTATAAAGAAAAGCGGTTTAATTGGCTCATGGTTCCACATGCTGTACAGGAAGCATGGCTGGGGAGGCCTCAGGAAACTTAAAATCGTGGTGGAAGGCAAAGGGGAAGCAGGCACATCTTCACATGGCTGGAGTAGATGGAAGAGAGAGGCGGGGAAGCGCTACACACTTTTAAACCACTAGATCTCCTGAGAACTCACTCACTATTATGAGAACAGCACCAAAGGGGAAATCTGCCCCATTATCCAGTCACCTCCCACAAGGCACTGCCTCCATCATTGAGGATTGCCATTCAACATGAGATTTTGGTGGGGACAAAGGTCCAAACCACACCAAAGGATGTATTGGAGAGTTGCTCAAAATTGTGTTATTTAGCCAGACACACTGGCTTGATCCCATATTCCCAGCAACTCAGAAGGCTGAGGTGGTAGAATTGCTTGAACCTAAGAGTTCAAGTCCAGCCTGGCTAATATACTAAGAACTCATTTCAAAAAAAAGTGATTATTGCCTGACAATTTAATATGGATGTTTTAAAATACTATTCCAAAACAATTTTGAAAAAGAAAATCCTTTCTAACACATCAGTAGTTTAGTTTAAAAATATTTAATAGCCATTTTATATAAAAAATTTGAGAATTACATATTATGTAAAAAAATTGATTATTATAGAATATACATACGTATGTCAATATTTGTTATTCATATCTGCCTTTAATATATCCCTGGTTATTTCTGAAGTTTTCTTTTTACCATGCTCTTATTACTTCTTAGTTGCTCACAGAAATGTATATACCTTTCTTCAAAGTCACATTTTGTAGTTATAAAAGTTGGAATTATCAACTTTAATCAATTCATCTCTGTGGACCCAAATAAGCTTTATAAAAATATTGCCACTATATATGCTAGAATTGCAATGTGTAGAACAACTACTATTAGAGAATACTGTCAGTTACAAACTTGTCACATAAATATATAAATATTATAGCTTACATTTTTCCAGAGTATCAGTCTTTTGGTCTTGTTTCACAGACCCTGTCTTCAGCAAACATGTGTATCAAGCAACTCACCAAATAATAATTTATATTGTGATTCTTTTGCCAAATGTAGGTGCTACAAAATTCAAAGATTTCTTATGTTCCTTCAATTTTGATACAGGATATGAATTTATTTAATTAAATGTAGGAACACCGTCAAGTGATTATTCTCACAAGATATTCCACAAGTATGAATTTCAATATTGAAGTTTGTACATCATTATTTTTAGATACTTAATACTACATATTTTCTAAAATGTTGCTTAACGTATATGGATTTGTTATTAATTTTTTGAAAAAATGTTTTTAAAATTTGGTTTTCATAAAAATATTTGATAGGACCACCAATATAATAAAACTAATTTTTTGATCAACAAATAAATATGTTGTTAAATTATATCATTTAAATTATTCTCTAAAGCCCTCTTTCACTCTGTAGAGTACCCAAATTGGACAATAAATTATATAGTCAGCTTATATATTCCCAAACTCTTCGTAGTCTGGTTTTGTAACTTTTCTTTTTACTCATTTTCCCTCTTTTCTTTCTATAATTTTTGTTGACTTTCTTGTTTTATTATAAATACATGACTTTGGATGAATAAACATTGCATAATTATTTAAATGTTCCTTGCTGCTATTTTTTTTTAAGCATATCTACTTCACTGTCCCCGATTCCAACTTATTTTATATTTTTTAATCTTAAAATTTTGTTCATGAAAAGACACACATACACACGCGCGCGCGCACACACACACTTAGAATAACACTCCCAGGGCCAAAATCCTCTAAAGATGATTATACCCTTAGGCAAACTAAAACCATAGTGAGATGCTGTTGTGAGTCCCTTTTGCATTGCTCTGAAAGAATACCTGAGGCTGGGTACTTTATAAAGAAAAGAGGCTTTACAGGAAGTATAGCACCAGCATCTATTCCACTTCTTGTGAGGCCTCAGGGAGCTTTTACTCACAGCAGAAGGCCAAGTGTGAGCAGGACATCACATGGCAAGGGAGACAGCGAGGGAGACGGAGCAAGAGAGTGAGGGGTGGGGGAAAAATCACTCTTAAACAACCAGAGTTAACCACTCTTAAACTCAGAGCAAGAGCTCACTCATTACTGTGAAGAGGGCACTAAACCATTCATGAGACATTCATTTCCATGTTCCAAACACTTCCTACCAGGCCCCACCTCTGACACTGGGGATCACATTTCAACATGAGAGTTGAAGGGGACAAACATCTAAACCGTATCACATGCTAATTACACCCTGCAGAATAGCTAAACTTAAAAATACAGACAAAACAGTATTTACAAGGATGTAGAACAATTGAGACCCTCATATATTGAAAGTAAGTGTGTAGAATAGTACACCCACTTTGAACAACTGTTTTTTTCAATTTCTTATAACATGAAATAAATGTCCACAGGGAAATTTAGTAACAAATGTTTATGATGGTGTTATTGGTAACAATCAAAAAGTGGAAATCATGGCCAGAAATTGATATCCATATGTCCATCAACAGTGAATGGGTACAAAGTTTGGTAATATTACTACAATGGAACATAACTCAACAAGAAAAATGAGTGTGTTGTGGATCTATATAATAACATGGAGGAAACTTATTGACATTGTAAGGAGGGAAAGAAACCAGATACAGACACATACACATGTGTTTCAACATGATAAAAATTATAACAGTGGCTTCCTGGGTAGGAGGGTGTGCTGTGGGGTGAGTGGGTAATGCAAGTCAAAGGAAAAAAGCATTATTGATTGAGGGAGGGGTTTACGCAGGTGTCATAGTCATTGAACTCTACTTTAAATCGGTGTATTTTATTTTATGTAAATTGTAACTTAATGAAGATGGTCAGAAATCCCCTGGTTTTTATTTTTAACATTTCTAAGTTCAAAAAAAACTAATAGCAGAAACTATAAGCCAATCTATATTTATATACAATCAATTTAAATATATTTTTCAGCATAACTAAATAATTGCTTTAAGCCAGTGATACATTTTGGGGAATAAAAATACAACAAAATCAATAAAAATTCTCTTTGTTAAATACAATAGTCTATTGGGAGTATTTAGATTTTATTCAATTTTCTTTCCTTTTTATTTTACCATATTAAAAAACTAAATAAAGCAAATAGATTTGATGCTATTATTCCCAACTCCTGTTAAGGAAACAAAGTTAAATAATTATCTTACGTATGAAAAAATACAAACAAAGAGCAAGTAGCATCTACATTTTTTATTACCAGTCAACAGGCTTTACATTGGATGAATATTTCCCAAACTGTG